TCATCATCATCATCATCATTGTCATCCTGATCATCCTCGTCCTCGTCATCATCATCATCATTATTATTATTATTATTATTATTATTATTATTATTATTATTATTATTATTATTAAGTTTATTTGTCAGTACCAACCATAACCAATCTCTATCGCCCGAGATCAGTAAAAAAATGAATTATGTACATAAAACTCGTCCCCGGGTATAGATAGGGTGGAAAATTCACCGCAGGCACTGCTCCAAAAAGTTAGAACCACCCTCCCCTCGGCAGGTTCAATCGCGCAAACCAATCAAAGACCAGCCATATCGATTCATTGTATTCGAACAAAGAAGCTGTATATACGAACCGCCTGGGTTGCGAAATTTGAGTAGTTTTAAAGTTGATCATTTAATCCTGTTTCTTTCTCATATCCTTTAACTCTTTTACATTTTTTAGCATTTTACCGTAGAAGCATACGGCGGAACCGTTTTAAACAGTTCTAAATGAAATGGATGAAACCAGGCAACACAACATGCAATGCTTTAGAAAAGCATCATGGTTCTTTACTGGAAAACGTTTCAAGGATAGTTCGTGGTCATGGATCGTGTGTGTTTCGGCAGCAATATGCAATGCTGTCAATTTTGGTATGGCTCTCAGCTTTGGTGTTCTGTTCCCGGTTTTGATGGAATACTTTGACGAGACCAGGGAGAGAACAGGTTAGTGAAGTCAGTCTTGTAGCTGTGTTGTGCACAAGCGCGCAGTCTTTTCAGCCCGCCAATAAAGTGTATCATAGGTGCTGGTAGTCGCGTTCAGTGCCGTTGATTTGTTTCTAAGTTAAACGCTTTTAAATCCTACTGATTTAAAAACGAAACACTGCTGATCATGTCCGTGTGGGAACATAGACGGGTTCGACAATAGAGGGTCATACAAACAACAGCCGAGGTTCGATTTTAAACAGTTGCAACTTAACTTACCAGTTAAATTATCTCAAAAAAACGGTGTTGGGCTTTTGCACCTCGGAAATCGCATTGTTTTTGCGTTCCTTACTGTTCTAATACAACTGTAATGATCTTCAGAAGTTAAAAAAACGTACGCACTATCGTTTTCAAACTCTGACATTGACGTTGCATCTCACAATACAACCTGAATTAAATTCAAATGCGCTCAATTAAAATTCCCTACCTTGGATATCGTTGGACTGCCAACGGTAGTTCGCCTTATACCTTTCATTTGGTATTGACCTGTTTTACAGATAAAATATAAACATTTGTAAAAACAATTCAGTTCTTCTTTTGCTGCGAACAACTTTTATTTGCCAATGCTTGATTATTTAGCAACTTGATCAACCAATTCAGTTTTGAAGTCTGTAAAGGAAAGACTGCGTCTGCAGTCATCACCAATACGTAACGTGGTTGGCTAGGAAAAGAGTTCGATCCATTTCGCAAGAAACACTGCTCTTCAGCTTAGTACAAGAGAATTGCTAAATATTCGTCTGCAGTGTTTGCTTTTTTTTTTTAATTCATAACGTATATTCTCTTCCTTAGGGAATTAAAATGTATTCATGGCAACTAAAAGAAGCCGGTTAGACATTATTCAAAACGTGATAATTTTTAAGTCCAACAGCATAATTATGTAAATTCCTAAAAAAAAGTTACATGGAATTCAAGTTGTTTTGCAACCAAAATGCTACGGAACATGTTGTCCGAACGATTTCAGAGGAAAACTGGATAGACATTGAAGACAGACGTTACAAACGCTATACAAGCTGAACGATTTGAATTCTTTAGTTTTGAATTCCGTATTATTTAATTTGGCTTGTAAACACAATGCCAAATTTGAGGGTTACTATATCGCAAGAAACACTGCGCTTCAGCTCACTGATTCGATCAAGCTTATTCCATCAAGAAGATTGTGAAATGTTGGTCTGTAGTGTTTGTTTTTCATTATAAATTAATAACGTATAGTCTCTTCCTTGTTGTTTTGCAAACTAAATGAAACGACCTGAGCTACAGAACATCAGTGATGTCCGAACGATTAGAGTGGTAACCTGAATAGGCAGTGAAAAGAGATCTTACAAACCGGCTATGCAAACTGAACGCTTTGAATTCTTAGCTTTGAATTCCGTAATATTTGCCTTGTAAAAATCAAATTGAAGGTCGCCTCGTACAATTTATGAAAGCTAATAAAAGCTGCCCTTTGAATTTTCCACGCTGCAAAGAAAAAATGAAAAGTTCAAAGTTCTTATTTGGCTGCAAAATTTATGAGACTGTCGCAAATGTTCAACACACTGCTGTGAAACACTTCCACTATCCTCTTTTTCTCCAAACACAGCAGAGAGAAGAACACGCTGTAAAATGTCGACCTAGCTTTATACTAAACGCTTTTTTGTTTTGATTAAATTTGTTTCGGTTGATCTATAACATCAATTTTGAGACCAACCGTTTGTAACCGCGGATCCAGCGTTTATAGAATTAATTTCTTTTCATCACAAATGCCGCCAAGTGGCAAGATTTTAAAAAGCAATATGTGCCCCTCTAATTTCTCGCAAACTAAGATTCCCGCGAAATGAGGTATTGAAGTGGAAAAATAACGATCATTTATTGATAACTGTTGTCTTTTTGTTTTCAGCGTTTGTTGGCTCAATCTGTCTGGGCATGCTATGGTTTGCAAGTCCGCTGGCAGGCTATCTCTGCGATCGTTTTGGTTGCCGCATCACATGTTTCTTGGGAAGCACGCTATGCATTGTGGGACTGGTGTCGACGTCATACGTGCAGAACCTCACAATGATGTACTTCACGTATAGCGCCTTGTACGGTTTAGGAACTTGCTTAATATACAATCCCTGCTTTCTTGTAATCGCTAAATACTTTACAGAGAAGTTGTCCGTAGCTGCTGGCGTCGTTTCATTGGGCGCGAGTGTAGGGGTCCTCTACACCGGACCTTCGCTTCAAGTCCTCTTGGACTCGTTTGAATGGAGAAACACGTTTATAATAATGGCAGCAGTGTACGTCCTTGTCTCCATTTTGAGTCTGAGTTTCAATCCATACGTAGAAGAAATAACAACTAGGGAGAATTTCAGCACTGAAGAGAACAACAATGAGGAAGAAAGAGACGAAAAGACAGGCTTCTCTCTCTACTGCAGTGTGTGGAGCTTTCCTGCTTACACTGTTATTGTAACGTCGCTTACGTTTGCCAGTTTTGGGATGTATGTTCCTTACATCAATCTGGTTAGTTTAAATTAAACTGCGCGTACTTTATCACGCTTCACCTTTGAGCAGTTATGTATTTGTTGTTGCAAGGTGGGACGAGTTGACAATGACATACAGGTTCAAATGCATCCTGCATAGGTCCTTGTACCATGCATCCCATAGCCATCCCATAGACATCCTATAGCCATTCCATAGCCAACAAGCGCCAGTGGAATAATTGGAATAAAAACGTCCCCAAAATATAGAAAACTAAAACAAAATAAAGATAAAAACGCCCCAAAGCACATGCTTACCATATTTGTAAAGCATGGTATAATGGCTCATATACCATAATGGTTAAACCAATGAAAACTACTCTTGAATTGCACTATCCAACTACATCCTCTTTTGCGCATGGCTAAGAAAACGACTGAGAATAGAACACCAGTCAGATTTCTATCCAGCTAAGTCACCTTAATGGACGTTTTTGGGTCAAGTTTTGGTCGTTGGATTGACCGCACCAAAAAATGTCTCCAGTTTATTTAAGGTAGTTTTCTACTTTGCTTGATAAGAACTTTCCTAAGAGGTCATTATTACTTTTTTAGGTCAAGTACTGTGAAGATCTCGGAGTCTCTCCGCAGAAAGGTTCTCAGCTGTTCATTTTTATCGGCTTTGCGTCATGTGTCGCCCGACTGGTGACGGGAAGACTGTGCAGCAACAAAAGAGTTAATCCGGTGCACATTTATCAGTCATGCTTGGTATCAGCTAGTCTCGCTGCCTTTATGCTGCCCTTCACCACAAAATACTGGAACTTAATCGCGTTCAGTGTCATTTATGGATTGAGCGATGGTGTTTTCGTAACAACTCAGAATTTTATTTTACTGACGGTTGTGGACAGTAAGAGAACAACGGCCGCTTTCTGCATCAACAATTTGGTGTATTCGTTCTCTGGGGCCGCCGGCGGACCAGTTGCTGGTGAGTTAATAATGTTACTTTAAACTGAGCGCGATAATTGTCCTTGGTGTATGTAGGGAGGAGGGGAGAGGGGGGACAGACCTGAGGTGTTGAGAGAAAGTACAGTATGTTTTGAACGCAGTGTGGTCGTTACATAAAAGACCAAAGAATAATATAGCTCTTCCAGTCTGTCCCGGAACTATAACCCTGGACGAAATTTTTGAGGTTCGAACAAGCTTGGTCAAAAAAGAAACAAGAACACTATTTTCCTCCGGGACACAGCGGGTAATCCTGAGCGGACAAGATAGCGCCCTCTTGGCCTGTCGGGTAGCCAATTACAGAGCAGGATTCGGATCAACTTGCCCACTCACAGAGCTAGCCATATTCCTACAGATAGCGAGATAACCATGCAAGGAAACTATTCTCCATGTATTAAACAAACAGAGGAAACCCCTGTTCCTCGGATCTCCAAGAGAAATTGAATAAATTGATTCATGAATAGAGCAGTTTTAAGTGAGTGTCGTAATACCAAACCCAATGTTATGAGTCTAGCCAATGAAAAAGGACACAGACAACCCAAAGGCATGAACCAATCAAATCTCGAAGTCAGTATAAATGTAGCTGACGAAAAGCGGGGGAAAACGCGAGCAGTGAGTCTCAATTGGTTTTGATTTTACTTCTGGTCAGATGAAAAAGAGAGGCGAATTTATTAAGGCAATAGTTTATCAAGCGGTTTTCAATTGCGTGTCGTAAAGCCAAAACCAAAACAATTACTTACCAATTAGACTACTCGGCCGAACTCACACCATAGTAAAACCAAAACCAAAACCAAAGTAATTAGCTGATTAATTTCAGCACTCAATTGAAAACCGCTCTAACTTAGTAGGGCAAAACCAATTTTAAAATTTCGGTACGCAAGTTAAAACTGCTCTGATAGTTACTCCAATTCAAAGGGAAATGTTTTTTGGTTAGATTTCATTTATATTTTTATTTTTTGTTCAGTGAGGAGAGAAAAGCCTACCTTTCAAGGTTCTTTCTTGAGATATGTTCGCTTCTTTCTTCAGCTTTGATAGCGGACCAGACAGGGAGCTATGTCTACTCATTCTACATGACGGGAGGAGTATTGTTGACGGCATCCCTGATACCGGTAATAATGATTTTCATCAACCGGAGAATCTCTCTAAGTTCACCTAGAGAACTCGGAAGTAGAATTAAACGAAGAAGAGTTTATTGGCACAGTATCGAAGGAGGAGCGCAAGAATTAATTGGAATGAAGCTCAGCGCTTGGAATGACGAGAATGCACAATTCTAGCGCAATCGTCCAATTTTTATTAGTAAAATTTTACTAGTATCCTAATACTGTACTAATGCAAGTGCTGTAATCTGATTGGCTGAGTCATTGCAAGGCTATCAGCCATTAGTGTGCAGTGACGACAAAATTGCAACGTTTCCTTTCTTGTCCTTTTTTCCAAATGGATAATCATTGACAAATTTCTGAGAAGACTAAAAGGAGGGCATTTACGGTTTCTTAAATTAAAAAAGCTCGAAATTTTCGAAAGAAACTGACAAGCACGCGTACACAACTGTAAATGTCAAATTGACCATGCAATCCGCGCGAATTCTCTGAAGCGGGAAGCTTAATACAAAGACCAGAAATAACTGGAATCGTTATTTGAAGGAAATTTCAATTAGAATTCTACTAAGACAATTAGATTATTCGCTCTCGATTTCATAATCTACTTGTTAAAGAAAACAGCTCTAAGAAAATACGAGCGCTGATTGGTTAAACATTGTATTTCTTTAAAAACAATTGGAGTTCGAGCTCGCGTGATAGTTGACAGTCAACTATCGCGCGATAGAAATTGAGAGCGAATAATGTAATTGTTTTACTATAATTCTACTAGTCGTTTAAAACCTCGAAGTTAAAACGCGAAGAAGCGGCCGTCATTTTGTTTACAAGCGTCCACTGCTATATGCTACTCGCTATCTACAACACTGATAACAGATAGTGAGAGTCAGAGAACGACATTCGTGATAGAAAGCTAGTAGATTTGTACTAAAACTCGATAGAAACACGGAGAACATGTTTTCTATTTCTTTTAAAAATACACCGCGACGAAAAAAAAAGAAAGGAAAACAACCTGTTGACTTTTTGATCATCAAAATGTAAATTCTCTTTGCTCGAGCCATCATTAAGTCAACAGCTCGTGCTAGTTCCATGTTTCTATCGAGTTTTATAACATAACTAAAGCAAAGCGCGCGCTCTGATTGGTTAATTTAGCGTCTACCATTTGCCCATGGGTGTACGCTGCTGACGCGTGTGCTAATGTTTACAAAGCAAATCTTTTGACGGACATTGTTTCCAAAGTAGTGGCCGACGTTCTTCTGCCAGAAATGCGAAACTGTCTTCACAGTTGTCTGAAGATGAAACTTTATCGAGTTACTGGTGTGCAGTCGGTTGTCATGAATG